GTCCCGCTCGGCCAGGGACCTGTGGCCGATGACCCTGCACAAAACGCCATCCCCAGCCCGGCCTCCCGTGGCGCCACGGCTCTCCCGGTGGAGCTGGCGCGGCTGGATGCCGCTATCCTGGCACGGGGCTCCCGCAGAACCGGGTGCTCCTCCCCGGCTGGGCCGAGCCGCACGGGCGGCTTCCCGCTGGGAGCTGTGCCCAGGAGCCCCGCTGGCACCCACGCTCCGGCAGCGCCGTGGCCCCGAGGCTGGTGGCCCAGAGCCCGGTGGGAAGCTGGGGCACTGGGCCAGGAGGAGCCACAGCACAGCTGCCATCCCGGTCTCGCCTCCCACCACGGAAAGCACCTGGAGCGCATCGGTGCTGCGGCAGCCGGGCGCGTGGGGCTGTCAGGAGCCAGCACCGGCTCCACCACAGCCTCGCCCTGCCCTTCTGCACTGCCGGGGCACCGGGGGGCTCAGCGTCTCACCTGCACCGTGATGCGGGCCGTGGCGGTGGCTCGCAGCCCCATCCCCTCCTGGTCGGCAGCCTGGATCTCCAGTGTGTATTCAGGGACAACCTGTGGCAAGAGGCTCTGTCACCCACAAGTGGGGGATGAGCTCGGTGGGGGCTGAGTCCGGGACTCACCTCTGCCACCAGCCCCAGCCTGGCTACAGAGACCAGCCCAGAGCTGCTGTCGATGGTGAACATCCCGGGCTGGGGCTTCTCTGGCACCTGGCTCAGGATGGAATATCTCACAACGCCATTGTTGGTGTTCACGGCGTCGTCTGCGTCGGTGGCCAGCACCTGCAGAACCGACGTGCCTGGAGCAGGTGGTTATTGGTGACCTGTCACACATCCCTCCAGTGCTGCCTGCCAGGTGGTGGCAGTGGTCCCACCTGGCTTAGCTCCCTCCAGCACAGAGCCCTGGAAAACTGCCTGGGTGAAGACGGGCCGGTTGTCGTTCTGGTCAGTGACGGTGATGATGATCTCCATGGTGTCTTCCACAGGCTGCCCGTTGGCTGACACAGCATGGGAGTAGAGCTGCAAGGGCACAGTCAGCGTGTGTGCCGTCCCCAGGACCGTCCCCATCCTGCCACAGGCTCCCCTCACTCACCACATATTTATCCTTGTCCTCCCGGTCCAGGGGTTTTGTCACCTCCAGCCACCCCGTCTCCCGCTCGATGATGAAGACACCCACGGGGATGGTGTCTGCTCCCTGCCCCGTGATGCTGTAGAAAACCTTGGTCTCCTTGTCCTTGCTGGATTTGATCTGGCAGCGAGGCAGGAAGGGGAGGGTGAGAGGTGTCCCAGTGCTCTGGGGACCCCCCTGTGACCCAGTCCATGGGCACACGTACCTGCACCAGCTTCTTGGGGAAGGGTCCCTGATTATTCTCGGGGCAGTTGATGGGGGGGATGATCCAGTCCCTCTTCTGCCGCTGGAGGCAGTGTCCATGCTCCGGGAAGGTCAGCATGTCCTGTGGGATGGAGAGCAGGGCTGTAGGGCCACAGAGGGACACGGAGGGACACGGAGGGACACGGCTCTGCCCAGAACCTCGGGGGGCTGGGGTGGGGGTGGCCATGCAACAGCCGCGGCCCCACTGCGATGGTCCCACCTGCAGGAGGAGGAGGAGGAGGAGGGTGAAGGTGCAGAGTGCCATGGCTGCAGCTGCACTGGCTGTTCCCCCCAGGTGCCAGCTGGGAACTTTCCCTGTTGCGTCAGTGACCTTGGCCAGGAAAGCAGAACCGGCTTTCCAGAGCTGCCAGCCCCGGCGGGTCTGCGGGCGCCGGATGGGGGGACCCAGCACACGAGATGCTGCTCCAGGCTGGGCGGGACGATGGAGTCCAGGAACCCCCCGGAGCTGTCCCTCAGTGGCCACGGGAACCCCCACTCCAGCGGGGCTGGGGGGCACACACAGGTCCCCCCACCAGAGTTCCAGC